TCAGTTGACAAATATAGATTCTACCTAAACCTCAAATTGATATCGATCACAATATCAGCCGTGTCATGATGACGTCATCGGATAAGAATAGACATTCAATCCAATCTGCATTTTTAAGCATATGTCTTTGTACCATTTGTCCTCATGATTTTGCAACTTTCGACTTCACATCTATTATCTCCCGTAGTCTATAACATGACATAAAAAACACAATAGCGAAACAGCCATATGTTTGTCAACAAACATACATCTAGTTCTTTGGTCGTTATTGGTACATTTTCGGGAGTGAGTTTTAAGCACAGCACACGTTGCCGGTCGCTCACTCCCGTTACACGGCTTTACCAGGCCGTGTCCCTGAGGCTTTGCACAGGCTGAATACTTGTTTCAGGGTGTCAAACCGATCCCACCATTCCAGCCGACATGCTAGGGCTCAACCTTTCGCTGTCGGGACACCTCACTTCGGGCAGTTTTCAGTGAGCTTACTCGAGTTTGCCGTCACGACATTGAGGCACGACGGGCAGCAATTCTTGATGCCATATTTCTGTTCTCGCAAGCATCTTGAGTTCCTTCCTTTTCAAGGGCAAGACCTTTTTGCTGGCCAGTTTCAGACTCGCATGCAGGCTGAAGGCTATGAAAGAGGTCAATTTATCAATCCCTGCAAATGGTCTTGCAGTTCACATTTTCAAAAACTATCGCTCCACAATTGCGGCGGTTACCTCATACGAGCCATGCATGTTTCATGACCCCCAACGGACACAACTACCATCATTGGATCTTAGGCGGGTCTTGCAAGCTTTCGCCTGGCCCCGTTTGAACCTCTGGACCACGCTACTGTTAACGTTCCCTTGAAAAGGGTCTTCCTCCTGACGTTAGCCATAGCACGCCGCATGAGTGAACTCCACACCCTGACCATATGTCTAGGACATTGGCGTTAGGAAGAGCTAGTCAGCGATGATTTTCCCGCCTGATATCTTCGTTCCTGACTTAAAGTGCTCCTCTGTTCCGGAGGACAAGCTCTGGTATCCTGTAGGGGCCCTCACGTGGTAGCTGCCCAATCCGCATTGAACACCAGGCTGTATTCATAAGGCAAAAGAATAGAATAGTCGCTCTCTGGTCAGACCAAAGTTCCGGAATTGGTGTGGTGATGCGGTTTTTTGGTTGGTTGGTTTGTTTGTTTTTCCCAAGCTTGCTTTTTTGTGTCCTCTCATACCTTGTTGCTTTCCATTACCTGGAGTCGAGCTGCCCACGAATATTTGTCCCAATGGTGCAACCGGATCCGGTTCCTCCTCCGCTGGCGTCCCGCAGTACCGACCAGTGTCGGCTTACCTCATTTATGGTGAGAGCCGATTCCACTGGTTTACTTTAGTGGGTTTAATCTGGTTGGCTTAAGGCTTAACGCTTCCTTGAGGCCCGCCTTCAACATCGTACGTGTGTACACGTACGCGAGAGTGGGGAAGCGGGTAGGCACTCTATGGGTAAGTATTCGCGAGTAGAATGGAACCACACATTTGTGTGTGTATGTGGGGGGGGGGGGGTTCTACTACGCTCTACTTGCACGCGAACCCACCTACCTAAAACAGTGCTATTCTACATATAGAAATACTCTACGGATTTTAAGTAGAGCGTAGTAGAACCCCCCCCCCCCCCACACACACACACACACACCCACACTCAAATGTGTGGTTCCATTCTACTCACGAATACTTACCCATAGAGTGCTTACGCGCCTTTACGCTCGAGAAAAGAGAGAGGTGGCGGGCAGGCCGCAAAGTACTGTGGGTAATAAATCTTAGCGAATGGCTTTACACCCTCTAGGGAATAACGCATGTGTAGCAATACTCTACTCTACGATTCGCTAGTAGAATCAGCCCACACCTTTGTGGACCAAAAACTACATCAGTATTTATTATGCATATTTTTAACTGATGTCTTCATCAAACCGGACGTAACATGTAAAGAAAATGGGTTTTGAGATCAGTTTATCCCTAAAGGATGCATTAGTTTCAAATTAATAATTGCTTAAAAGGGCACTAGGTCCTAAAATCCCCGAACATTTTATGTTTTGGATTGTTTACTTAGCCTTGGATTGTTTACTTATTTCTAACATCTGGTTGACAGGAAACCAACCCAATGTCTTGCCGTTCCCGAGAAAAGACACCAAAACAACGCTTGTTTACATCGGACATGACGGAGTACGAATACGTTTTTCGTGTCGTTCTCAGTGTACCATACATGTTTTGTGTCTCGGGAACAGCGCGCGGTGACCAATCACCAATGCAAAACATTGGTTTCTTCAACGTCCGCGTAAACATATTTACAACCGAGTTAGACAATGTCAAATACATGTAAACTAGAGCTATTGTGTTTGTTCAGTTGCAAACGCAAAGTGTTCGGGCAGGCAACTCTTTCATTGCAGTCGCAGTGGATTAGGTGTTGAAAGACATGTTGAAAGTGTTTAAGCATAAATGAAATACCATGTTTCATGATTAAATCAATCATTTTTTACATGTTTTAAGTTTACTCATTAAAATAATAACTACCTTATGCAAAATTGTACTCAAACGTAGCTTGGGGCGTTGGCCCAACTGGCCCATTGGAAGCGATGTTTGAAAGACTTTTGAAATTGGATTGCTAGCCTGTGATGAAAAACAATCTTTGGAATGATTAATTATTTATGGACAACATGGCGTTACAAAATCTCCAACGTACCCCCTTTTAACGCATTTTCTCATTTAATTGAATCCAGGTAAAGTATTTTATCAAGTTTTTATGTTGTTGAATGTAATAAGTACGTCCCTACATTGAAATTAAAATGTTTATTTGGAACAAAAGTTAAATTAGAAAATTACATGTAGGCACTTCACGCTAAGCTATCCGGTACAATGGTATACCCTGGAGCCCACGCTCCACATCATGGTCTCTGGTAGTGTGGCCTTTCTATGGACCCTACATTCTGTGCTTAGTGGCATACATTTTGTTTTAGCAGACTCTCAGAACAATGAGAGGTTTGTTCTGATGGCTCACAGCATAAGTTTTAAAAAAAAAGTGATTTGACACGGAATGACCTTAATGTGATGTCACAGAAATTAATTTAACACTCATGATTATTCAGATTAATTTTGTACTGCTGAGTCTAAATAGCTTGAGACTACACAATCTCAAATGCTTGAGACTACACTATCTCTGATATCGTTGTGAGAATTTGGAAATGACTTAGTTGATATACTGATTTTTGTCTTGACTATCCAAATTTCACGAAGAATTGAAACATGTCATTTCAAAATAGGGTAGGTTGGTCAGGAATTTTTTTAAAGACTGCTCATGCTTTAACTGCTTAATTTAGTGAGGCTGAGGTTCTGGTACGGAGCTTGCCCCAAAAGTGGTGCGGTGATGCGTTTTGTGTGTGTTTTTTCCTCTAATTTGTCGGCTGATGTTGCAGATGACGCTTCGATCCCCTAAAACTCTCACAAATATCCTTCAGAGTGGAGCTTGAGGTGACCTCAGTAAGGCCATAAAGGCAGGAGAATTCTGCACCCACTTACGATCTCGACCGACACGAACATTCGTCGTGAAATTTGGATATAGTCAGGTGGCATACGGTTGGAATCGTGACCGACTGGTTTAAAGCACCAAACTTAGCAGATAGATTCTTATAGCCCCAGAGAAGATATTTAGAAGGGGTGACACCTGAATTTTTTTTGGGACGGGTGCCTAATTTGCATAAAGCCTTAATCCCTGCCGTGTAATATATTTATTCCCATAATTCGGTAGATGTTTATTTTTGTTATTTTGTGAAAAGCTTATTTTGGGGATGTTACTTACATATCCTTACTTAAATAACATTTTCTAGAGCATATCGGAGACTTAAAGATTTTAAGGACATCATAAAGATCCAAAATGGCTACCATCATACCCTAAAGTAGCGCGCATTCCTTTTCCCTCAGATATCATCAAGTAGTCTTGCGAAACCTCAGCTTCAAATTCCCAAAATTACTTACTGACACAGTTACCCTAACAAAAATAAATGGGAAATCATGTGAACAAATTGTCTATCATCTAGATATTTAGCCCACAAAAACAAAAGGGGGGGGGAAATTAGGTGTCCGTAAATTGGACTAAAAACTAGGCGAAGCCTGCCGGAACGTGGTGGAGTTGATCAAGTTCACCGTTTTTGTTTTCTGGCCTTAATATCACAATTTTATCATTGTTCACATAATTTTCCATAAAGACTTAATCGAGTAACTGTGGTGATTTTGAAGCCCATCAAAAACTAAGGTATTGATGACTACCATATGATATCTGGAGACAGGGTTAATGCGCGCAATTTTAGAGTTTAATAGTAGCCGTTTTGAATCGTTACTGTGTCCTCATAATTATCCAGTCATTCTTAAATGCTTTAGAAAATGTTATTGAAGAAGGGATGTGTAAGTGGAATCACCAAAATATACTTTTCAAAAAAAAAAAATGCGCTAATTAAAAAGCGTTTACGCGTTCCAGATACACGACCATCGCTCCCTCGGTCTGGCTTGTAGACGCACAATTATATAATAGAGCCCGACTTAATTCAGTGCAAAATATATGGCAGCCCAGAGAGACAACATAAGCTTATTACACTCAATCACATTTAAAATTGTGCAACAGCAGGATTCCAGTCAAACCAGTGAGTTTGGCGATTTTGAGACCTCAACAGCTACGGCGATGCGCGCGCATATCAGAAGCCGAAGACGGGGGGTTTTTTTGCCTTAATTGCTTTATCAAATTTTAATTTGTACACACTACTCGATTGCACAATGGCCAACCTTTTGCTTTACGGACCCTCAAGTTCAAGGTCCACAAAATGCTTTAATAGCAAATCTTGATTTGTCTGGCATACGCAATTTTGGGTCTATTTTACAGTCCTGCAAACCCCGTAGTCAGATGGTGTGCAGACACTCCCCCCCCCCCTTGTCTTATTTAAACAATTTTAATTATGTCTTATTGCATTTTTTATTCATTTCCAGATGGATAGTTAAAGTACACAACATCAGCAGGAAAACAGGAGTTTCATTGAGGAGGGACCTTCTTCAACTGGAACTTTGCCACAGTACTGTACTTGTTGTTGGACATCAGTAATTTGTCAGAGTGCTTTATATGTCTCTATGATCAGCTTGTACAGAGGTTTTTTATGTGTGGAAACTGGTCAAGTTTATTCTCCTGCTCTGGCAAATAATATTCTAACCAAGGTATCTCCTCGACTTTTATTGAATATCTCACCAGTAAATGTGTTAATAAATTTGAAGGCTAGAAGTAAGGTTTTTTTAACCAGTAGTTCTGAGTCCGGCACGCTTCAGCAGATTTAAGTGAGGTCTTCGTAGTGTGAAATGTCATAAAGTGGACGTAACTGTTTTCATTCTTTCAAGAACAGATAACCCGACGGAATTGTTTGCTAAAAGGACCCTCTATGTTTCTATATGTTCAGGATTCGTCTTGAATTTGCGAAGGGCTATTTTTACAAATCCATTAACTAAAGGTCTGTTTTCTGCATCGAGTTAGAAGTTTTGGTTTCCACATTTGAGCAGATGTGTTCCTCGGTCATGTCCTTCCACGAGACAATCCCTTTTTAATCAAAGTAAACCTTAAAATACTGTGGCTGTGTTGTAGTAACGTGATTGTAAACTTTCTTTGTCGATTCTGGAATTAAGAATGTTTCTATATTTTTAATCGCCATGGTCACTTGTAGTAGTTATTGATAGTACTTTACTTCCTTCTTTTTTTCAATTTTTTTTTCTGAATTATTTTTGTGATACTTATTTTAAAAATGTTTTTAGAGGGGACTTTTTCAGTTAAAACAATTACTCTGAATTAAAACGAAGTCAGTATAATTTCACAATCTGTATTTGATATTATTAGTTTGTGTGTGTAAATAGTTCATTATTCTCTCCCTTTTGGAGTTCAAAGACAAATTGCTTTGCACATTTATTCCCAACTATTATTGACTGGATTTTATTTATCAACGATTTTTATTTTGTTAACAGTGATCTACTTGCTGAGCAGTTTTGTGAATGCGGCCTTAGTAACAACTACCTGACACTTTATTATACAATTCTCACTGTTTTAATTGTGTAATTTCTTAACTTTATCATTTGGTTGCTTTTGTTTTGTTTTATAGCAGTGATGTAAACATGATAACAAAAAGTTTAAAATGTCTTGCATGTATGAGAATTAAAAGGGAAAATGTGTGTTGCCTCAGTAGTTGACTGTTTGTGATTTTTATTTTCTTTGCGATTAAATTGCTAAATAAAGTAAATTTACATTCCGACAGCGAAACACTCCGACAGGAATTGCTCATTCGCCAAGTCTTAACACGCCTCAATGTCCTTTTGAGCTCAGTTTACATTACAAGAGACTGACAAATTGACAAATATCTCTCTAAATTTTGGAGTTGTAATTTCAAGTCTGGAATCATAAGTTAAGATCTTAAACGTGTATCCTCGAAGACACATTGTGCCTTCCCAACTCCCGTGCTCAGTCCAATTCAATTCCGTTCTGGCTTGGTCATGTTTCAAGAATAAAATACGTCAAATAACGCAAATACCTAATCGCCATATTAGGCAATGCACTTGCCATGGTATTTAAAAAAAAAAAAAAAAAATAAAGGGATTTCACAATTGTGTATGCCCCGCCTTGTCTGTTGGTGTACTTGCGTGTAATGCATCATAGTGATAACTCATGTTGGATGAATGTCATGAACCTTGATAGGCAGCTTGCTAGTGGAAGCTTAGAGTAACTGAATGAGTTTGGACCCCATAAAATAAGGCAAAGGTCATTATGGTTAAAACCATTTAACATTGTATTTTTACCCCTCAGTCGAGAGGCTGGAGGGGTATTGTCATCGCCTACGGCGGCGTCCGTATGTCCGTCGTTCCGGGCAGCTTAGTTTCCGGATGATAACTTGAATTAGAAATTAGATTTTGGTTTCTAACTTCAGTAGGGGTTGCCCTTGGGATCAGGCAAGTCGAGGTTGGTTTGGGGGGTCCCAAAGTCAAGGTCACAGTGGTGAGTTAGGTTAATGGTTTCCGGATGATAACTTGACTCTGGCTGAGGGGTTTCAACAACAACGCTTTAAACATTGGTTTAAATTTTTTTTTATTTTTTTAAACATTTTTTAACCAAATCAGGACATGTACGAATTTTAATCGCTCAAACGTGTAATTTTTTGGTAGAGTATTTACTGTTTTATACGTGTTTTCTTTTTCTCCACCCTTTTTAAACTGTAACTTAGTTAGTTATGTGGGTTTTTTTTATTAGTTTATTTTAAATTTTGTTGTCAATGATTTATTAAATATGTTTATTATATTATGTTTTTATTTTAAATTCAATATCCAATTTGGCCTTCGCGCAACAATGTAGTTGCTTTAATAAACCAATCAGTCATTCATTCGTTCATTCACAGTTTTCCCACAATAATTACAAACAAGACTTATCATACCAACTGCTGTTTTTTTGGGGGGGAGGTAGTCTGGGGATCTTTCCTTCTGGAAAGATCCCGTTTCTACCTGACACGTTTGGACCCCTTGGGCCAAAGGTCAAGGTCATTATGGTTTAAATAAAGACAGAAAACGTTTTTTCCGAATGTTTATTACTCATTTGTTTATTATCAACGTGTGATCAAGGTACGGTCCTTTTTGCCAAAGCTCCATTGAAACAAGCAGCTTACGGTAACACTTGCTTATTAGCTTCTTGCTGCAAGAGCTCGCCGTAGAAACCAACTCTGTCAAATCGACTCAGGCCATATCCATTAGTTCCGCCACCGCTGGCTCAACCTCACTCAGCCATTTGGTTGTGGGGGCCTTAGCTTTGTTAGACAAAGTTAATCTGATTTACAGACAGAGCAATGAAATTCATGCCCCCCAAAACACACGGCTTTTTGAAATTTGTGTTTCTCGAAAAATATGCTCAGTATGATTGAAATGTTCAATTAAAACGAACAAGAAAATCTAAACTTCATGTCAGTGGAAAAAATCGCCTTCATTTAATGACAAAACGTTAATACTGGTAACTGGTAAAGCTGAAATTATAAAGTCGTGTAGAAATCGATCGAAAAGTCCCCCAAATATATGTATATATCTAAATTTCTAGGAATCCCCACAAGTTGTTATTTCACGAGTAGTTGAACACTAACTATATTCCGCATTTCAGCTAAACTGTTTGCCACAAACTCACATGCATGGTTTTCAGGTTGGCCGATATTGGGGCAATAATGACGACGCGCATATTAGCATATCCATTAGTGTGACTCGGCGTGACTTCGCGTTTGCACATTTTTACTGCAAACACATAATGGATTAGTAACCTAGGCTTGAAAAGACTGACAGGTATTGCAAACGTCGGTTTTACAACTTTTAATAATGCACATAACCAGGCTTTTCGTTGAAATTGGAAAAATATCCAATTTCAAGGAAAGTATTAAACATTTCAAAACGATTTTTAGCACAATAATTGGATAATTATAAGGGAACAAACCCTAAAGTTGCATGGACCAACGACTACAGTGGAGACTATCACAGGGGCAGTTTGTTGGGCACTTGTTGGGCATTTATTGGGCATCAACTCCCCAAAGGAAGTTGATTTTGTTGGGCAGTTGTGGGGCAGTTGTTGGGCACTTGATGGGCAGTTTGGGAGTTGACGGGGCAGTTTTGGAGCAGTTGTTGCGCAGTTGATGGGAAGCTGATCGGCAACTGTTGGGAAGTTGTTGGGCAGATCATGGGCCGCTGTTCGGGCAGTTTTGGAGCAGTTTATGGGCAGTTGTTGCGCAGTTGCGGGGAGTTGGTGGGAATTTGATTGGCAGGTGTTGGGCAGTATATATGTTGGGCAGTTGATGGAAAGTTGATGGGAAGTCGTTGGGCAGGTGTTCAGCAGTTGATGGGAAGTTGTTGGGCAGGTGTTGGGCCGTTGATGGGCAGTTGCTGGGCAGGTGTTGGGCAGGTGTAGGGCAGTTGTTGGGCAGGTGTTAGGCCGTTGATTGGCAGTTGTTAGGCAGTTCATGGGACGTTGATGGGCAGATGTTGGGCAGTTGTTGGGCCGTTGTTGGGCAGTTGATGGGAAGTTGTTGGCAGGTGTTGGGCCGTTGATTGGCAGTTGTAACGCAGTTCATGGGCCGTTGATGGGCAGATGTTGGGCCGTTGTTGGGCAGTTGATGGGAAGTTGTTGGGCAGTTGATGGGAAGTTGTTGGGCAGGTGTTGGGCCGTTGATTGGCAGTTGTAACGCAGTTCATTGGCCGTTGATGGGCAGATGTTGGGTAGTTGTTTGGCCGTTGTTGGGCAGTTGATGGGAAGTTGTTGGGCAGGTGTTGGGCAGTTGTTAGGCAGTTGTTGCGCAGTTGATGGAAAGTTGTTGGGCAATTGAAGGGCCGTTGTTGGTTTGGGCAGGTTTGGGCAGGTATTGTTCCGTTGATGGGCGGGTGTTGGGCAGTTAATTGATGGGCAGTTGTTGCGCAGTTGCTTGGAGTTGATTGGAATTTGTTTGGCAATTGCCAATCAAATGTAAATTGTTGGGCAGTTCATGGGCCGTTGTTGGGCAGTTGATGGGAAGTTGTTGGGCAGGTGTTGGGCAATTGAAGGGCCGTTGTTGGGCAGTTGATGGAAAGATGTTGGGGCAGGTGTTGGGATGTTGATTGGCAGTTGTAACGCAGTTCATGGGCAGTTGTTGGGCCGTTGTTGGGCAGTTGATGGGTAGTTGTTGGGCAGGTGTTAGGCAGTTGTTAGGCAGTTGTTGCGCAGTTGATGGGAAGATGGGCAATTAAAGGGCCGTTGATGGGCAGGTGTTGGGCAACTCATAGGCAGTTGTTGAGCAGGTTTGGGCAGGTATTGGGCCGTTGATGGGAAGTTGATGGGAAACTTCCCAACTGCGTGTTGGGCATTTGAAGGGCAGTTGATGGACAGTTGTTTGGCAGTTGGGAAGTTTTTTTTTTGGACAGTTGTTGAACAAAGTTGATGGGCAGTTAATGGGTAGTTGTTGGGCCATTTGGCCGTTGATGGGAAGTTGATTGGCAATTGTTCGGCAGTAAATCTTGCTTGGGGACCAACAGTTTGACAACATTTTCAAATTTTAACACAATTTTATGGGCAGTTGTTGCGCAGTTGCTGGGAGTTGGTGGGAATTTGATTGGCAGGTGTTGGGCAGTATATATATATGTTGGGTAGTTGATGGGAAGTTGTTGGGCAGGTGTTGGGCCGTTGTTGGGCAGGTGTTGGGCCGTTGATGGGCAGGTGTTGGGCAGGTGTAGGGCAGTTGTTGGGAAGTTGATGGGAAGTTGTTGGCAAGTTGTTGGGCAACCCATAGGATGTTGTTGGGCAGTTGATGGAAAGATGTTGGGCAGGTGTTGGGACGTTGATTGGCAATTGTAATGCAGTTCATGGGCCGTTGATGGGCAGTTGTTGGGCCGTTGTTGGGCAGTTGATGGGATGTTGTTGGGCAATTGAAGGGCCGTTGTTGGTTTGGGCAGGTATTGTGCCGTTGATGGGCAGTTGATGGGAAGTTGTTGGGCAGGTGTAGGGCAAATGAAGGGCCGTTGTTGGGCAGTTGATTGAAAAATGTTGGGCAGGTGTTGGGACGTTGATTGGCAGTTGTAACGCAGTTCATGGGCAGTTGTTGGGCCGTTGTTGGGCAGTTGATGGGAAGTTGTTGGGCAGGTGTTGGGCAGTTGTAAGGCAGTTGTTGCGCAGTTGATGGGAAGATGGGCAATTAAAGGGCCGTTGATGGGCAGGTGTTGGGCAACTCATAGGCATGTATTGGGCAGTCGTTGAGCAGGTATTGGGCCGTTGATTGGGAAGTTGTTGGGCAGGTTTGGGCAGGTATTGGGCTTTGGGCAGGTATTGGGCAAATTGAAGGGCCGTTGTTGGGAGTTCATGGGAAGTTGTTTGGCACGTGTTGGGCATTTGAAGGGCAGTTGGGAAGTTGGTTT